TCACTGGTCCAAGTCCTAACTCTCAGAACATTCCGAGTTTACAAGTTGTAATTACGAGTTCTGGAGCACGTGAAGGCTTTGGTGTTGTTAGTGTTGCCATAGAAACACATAATTCAGCTATGAGTAGAATGTCACATGTTGTCATCTCGGAATTACGGTAATTACAACATGGCGTGAAGGAAGCATAAATAAGAGAGGCCAACGCAAATCCACGCAGAAACCAAACGACAAACTTTCTTTGATGAACTTTATTTTTAATGAAGTTCCAGACCACGTCAGTAAGAACTTGGTCCTTTGTTCACTTCATTTTGCCACAGATTTGTTTACAAACATTTTCAGAAAGGTTGAAACTAAAAGACGATGCTGTGCCGACTATATTGGATACGATGTCGCACCACACAAGTGTGAGTAAATGTTTTCATTATGTGATCACTATTGCTTTGTCTGTTATTACAGTTTGATACTGAGTATTTATGCATTTTAACCTAAATCACAGCAGCATCCATCTATGAGGAATGTACGCTGCATGTCAAACATAGACAACTGTTAGCCAATCATAGCAGTGGGCATTTACTTCTGAGTTTCAGAATCCGCGAGATGGTCCTCACTGCAGAACACAAGATCCAGGGGGCGATGTTGGATCCAGATCCAACTCCTCCCACCTTACATATACCTAAACCTACCCGTCTCCACCCCCTGATCCCTAAACCCACCCATCTCCACCCCTAAACCTGGATCTTTGTTCTGCAGTGAGGGGCTACTGGAATCCGCCACGCTTATTCAAACAGAGCATTCTGATGAGGGGAGTCAAAACGGTACAGAAAATAACCTATAACCTCTAAATTATGATTTTTTTCATGTAAAAACCTTGATAACATATACTGTAGGTAAGTGGACCTCAGAGAACAGTACAAAATTATAAATAAGGCAGTTCATGACCCCTTAAAAACCTACAAACCAGCTATAAACAGGCTCAAAGACCAGCTAACACCAGCCAAACAGCTTAGGCTGGTTTGAACTTTTTGTCAGCATAGACCATATTCTAGATCTCTTAAAGGGGTCATATGATGTTGATAAAAAGAACATTATTTTGTGTATTTGGTGTAATGAAATGTGTTTATGCGGTTTAAGGTTCAAAAAACACATTATTTTCCACATACTGTACATTATTGTTTCTCCTCTATGCCCCGCCTTTCTGAAACGCGTCGATTTTTACAAAGCTCATCGGTCTGAAAAAGCGAGGTGTGCTCTGATTGGCCAGCAATCCAGTGCGTTGTGATTGGCTTACAGATCTTCTTTATGCACCAAGAGCTTGTAACACACACTTGAAATCACATCATATGACCCCTTTAACCTTACCCAGTACCTAAACATAACTGATACAACAACCTTACTTAGTAAACACCTAATTTGCTGCTTATTGATACTTAGGCAAAACTCTAAGTTAATAGTTACTATGTGTTCTCTAACCTACCAAAAAAGCACATATTTTGCTACTGAACATCAGTATTCATGTGATCTTCAATAGAAAGTGTAAAATAAAGGCCATAGCTGTTCATAGCAACCTCCCAGAACACCTTAGCAACCACCTAGCAATACTCCTACAAACATCTGACTACCAACCACTCTGAACAGCTGCATTGCCTCAGCAACCACCTAGCTAAGCCTACATTTCTTCAAACTTTCAATCTCTATTCAGACTTACTATGTATACAATCTAAACAAAGCTAATAACCTTTAAACATTCTAACTAACCTTCCTTCCATTCAAAGTTTGTCTTTGCATTTCAAGTTAATAGTAGTTTCTCCAGGCTGACATCCACGTTTTTATGCTGTCACTGTGGTAAGTGACAGTTCAAATGATAGAATTAAACAAATGTCATAATTAACAAAGTGGGACAGAGAGAAGGCAAGATAGAAAGAACGACAGAATATCCAGTAACAAAAACAGGCAATTAAAAGTCATTATTTTTATTAGCCAGGGATAGGTTTTTTAAAAGAGTGGGTGGTGGTCTTTAAATATTAAACACTGCTTTAGTTTCTTTGTGACTTTAATGACTGAATGTGTCTGTATGTCTCTCTGTCTCTCTTAGTCACACAAACACACACATACACACACACACATACGGACACATGGCCGTCTGTGAGTATGGAGTCACTAATGAAACAACTTTGGTGCGCCACATCAGAGTCCACCCACGTTGTTGGTATATGGCACAGGTGGCCGGCCCCCAACATGCTTTACCAACCAGCTGACTCACAAACACTCTCTCACTGGCTCTCTGTCTGTCTCTGGCACAATCAATCACACCCAGAGGTAAAGCGTTATAAATATTTAGCAATCCACAATCTTTGAAGCTACCAAACCTGAGCATTCACCTGTCACAGACTTCTAGCAATTGTCATGAGGTAAAACAATATGAAAATTGAACGTGTCCTTGCTGAATAAAATTATTAAATGATTAATTTAATTAAAAAACAGTTCTTAAAAATAAATTACTGTTTTATTTAGCAAGGAAGCATTGAATAATGAAGTAAAAGATATATCCCAGTTTCCACAAAAATATTAAGCACCACAACAGTGTCAACATTGATAATAATAAGAAATGTTCAAAAGTCAGCATATCACAATGATGTCTGAAGGATCATGTGACATACACATATGTGACACCTGTAACTGGAAAATAATAAGAATTATATAATATATATGTACGTATAATGGATGTATGTTGTACAATAACTTCCTTTAAACATAACATTTACAAAGAAATGTGTAAAAATATCAGTGTTGTTACAGATTTAAATGACAAAATTGTGGGCTAACTTACTTTGATTCAAAGGGATGAGATAATTCTCCAAAATAACAGTCATTAAGGCTCATTAATCCAGGCCTTTGTCCTTCTCTCTTCTCTCTTTTCTAATGTAAGGATGAATCAAAAATAACATCAACAATTTCCTTTGAGGATCATTTCAAGATTGCATAATGCTCCTTTGAACAGAGGCTGTGGCGTCCATATAAGGAAAGTTTTCTTTGGGAGTATAATACAGATTTCTATATAAAAGCACTTGAATATAATCATCAGGAACATAATGTATAAAGTAGTGCTGCGCAACGATTAATCACGATTAATCGCATCCCAAATAAAAGTTTTTGTGTACATAATATATGTGTGTGTACTGTGTATATGTATTATGTATATATAAATACACACACATCATGTATATATTTAAGAAATATATGTTATGTTTATATATTAAATATATTTATATATAAAATAAATTATATGAATATAAATATATACATGTAAATATTTTCTAAATATACTTTACGTGTGTGCCTTTATATATACATAATAAATATACACAGCACACACACATATATTATGTTCACAAAAACTTTTATTTTGGATGCGATTAATCATTGCCCAGCACTAGTATAAAGGAAACAAACAAGCAAAAAAAAAAAAAGAATAACAATTGAATATTTGACTTTAAAGATGATGTCACAAAAAACAGCACATATATATCACAAATATAATAAAAAGTGCTAAACATATTAATCACAAAGTTGGTAATAACACTATTAAAGCTACTGGCACATCATCACAATTTGTGGGTATCACCAAATTTATAGATATATATAAAAAGTTACAATAATACTATTCATAATTTTGCCATAACACATGACTGAAGAGGGTTTACTGTTTTTTGGTTTAGTAACTAAGAACTAAGAAGACTGACCAAGATTAGCACACTGTTTATGTATGTGTGAGAAGAGCTACAATCATACTAAGCCAAAAGAGCAGAAACAGAAAGAGATGCCACACACATCTTAATTTTAGATAGTACATGTCTTTATGCAAACATAGCTGTAATTGCAGGAGGCGTTGTTGAAATAAAAAAAAATTTAGTGTAATGTAGCTGCCTCTTTTTGCACTTGGGTCATTCCTGTCATGCAGTACCGTTAGAGCTCTGTGACTTTATGATTAAAGGAAGCTTTTCTATTTTCAGAAATAAAATGTCTGGTCAAATTCAGGCCCTTCAACTTTATTATATATCTTGATTTATGGCAAGTAAGTGAAGAGGAATGGAAGTTAGATTGTTAGCTTAGATTGTAAGAAAGAGGTTCTTTAAATACTTTAAGTTCTTTTTATTTTTTTGCATTTGCCTTTATTTTACAGGACAGTAGGGGTGAGACAGAGGGGAATATATAATTTTGGGACATGCAGGTTGGGACTCAAACTTGCCTTCCCAAATACATTGTGAACGTTTTGTACTGTACTAGGAATGGAAGTTAGATTGTTAGATTAGATTGTAAGAAAGAGGTTCTTTAAATTCTTTAAGTTCTTTTTATTTTTTTGCATTTGCCTTTATTTTACAGGACAGTAGGGGTGAGACAGAGGGGAATATATAATTTTGGGACATGCAGGTTGGGACTCAAACTTGCCTTCCCAAATACATTGTGAACGTTTTGTACTGTACTATCATAGCAGTTTCAAATACAACTTAGGCCCATGTCCGTTCTGCTGGTTTCCCCATTTAAACTGTTTTTTTTTTGTCCACTCCAACCAAAGTAGTAAATTAATTTAAAATGTATGCTTTTTTTTTTTTTTAGATATTATGTTTTTTAATCTTTAAATGTGTAATTATTTCATCCAATATATTAAGACATATATAACAGGCATGTGAAAATGTACTGCATAACATGAATGACCCATTTAATGGGAGCTTTTTACTCTTATCATTTAACCCCCAACTGTTTTCACCATTTTACTGTTATAAGAACACACATCTCACAACTGGTCATAAATTTCAATGAGAAACTTAAAACTTTACATTAATTTGATACAAAAAGATTAGAGACACGTATTCCCAGACACTGTTCAATCACCAGACGGGCGATTATAGTTGTGTAAAACCTGGCTGAGCAGCATAGCGCAGTTTGAGCTGCAGCAGTAAAACTATACTGCACATCTACCTGACAGAAAGAGAGAGAGAGAGCAGAAGATAGAGAGCGCAAGCGAGCGTGCGCTCCAAGTGCAGGTTTCTGGGTTGGCAGCAGAGCGCGCGAATAGAACGTGGCACGCGGAATATTGGCCAAAATTACCGCGAACTCAAACATCAGGAGACGCTCAGAGGGAAGCGAACGAGAACGGTCGACAACGCCTATTTCTCTGAAACGTTCAAATTATCCGGTAAGTCTTCGTGTTTACATTAATCCCACACAACTGTTGTCGCTGAATGCGTATATTTGTTTTCCTTAAGGACTTTACCGAACGCTTTCGTAATAGAATGTGTTAGTTTTGTTTAACAGACTGCGCTAACATTTTTTTTCTTCAAATTTCTTTAGAAAATTCACCTGTGACTTAACCTGTAACTAAAACTAGCAGGTAGCACAAACTCTTTTCACAACATTAATAGGTTCCGCGCCAGTCATGTTTGTATTTACATATGTATTTGCAGGCTTGCACTTCCATCAGGTGAATTTTGTCAGTTAACTGTAAAAAGTACGTCAAATATGTTTACGTCAAACCCAAATCACTGCGTCTGCTGTGCGCAGTTCCTGTCGTTCGTTATTTCTTGACAGCAAAACCTTTCTTTTTCAGGCAAGTTCTGTAATTCGTCAATTCATCTTTTGATTTCTTGAATGTTAATTAGAAGTTATAAGTGCAGTGGACTCTGAGTTGAACTGTCCTTTTTATTTGACGACAAATGTGCATTGTTGAATTATGTGTGGAAAAGTGGTCAACAATATGCGTGTCATTTATTAAAACAGGTAAATCCTTGCTGGTAATAAACATTGCGTGGATGCTCTCAGACTTGCGGTTATTAGATTTGTTTTTATGTGTTTCTTCTTTTTTTTTGCAGTCTGTGACATCATGTACCACCTGTAGCCCAAAACTGCACATAATGAAATTTTAAGGGTTTTGTTTCAGCATCTGTAACTGAGTGAGGTTTGTTCTGGATAACTAAAACATTGATATAATAATCCCATATTTATGTTCTTCAGATTTAAGTGGTTTAGAAATGTACTACATATACCTGATACAAAGAGTGCTGCTGGTACAACCTAGCACATTACCATGGTGGGTTCCAGCACTAATAAAAACATCTTCTCCTCTACTTTACTTTTACTTTATTGTGTTAATCAGATAATAATATAGACCAAATACATAGACTAGCATCTCTAAAAACCTAACAAACAATGCGTGTCTATATATGTAAATGTGGTGTGCACCCCATGTGCTTTTTTTGTGCGGAAATGGAACATACATTGGAAGGTGTTACAACCCTCCCCATCAGGTCAGGCTTGATCTTTTTTTTTTTAAACACGATGACAACAGACATATATACATATATATATATATATATATATATGTGTGTGTGTGTGTGCGTGTGTGTGTGTAAAAGTCTATCTATATACACACATGTGTGTTTGCAATAATGTTTTGCAGTTTGCAATTTTCCTAAAGACTTCCAACATTTGATGAACGTTTAAACATTTTTATGTCTATCAAGGTTTTTTTTTCTTGTGGTAATGGAGCTTAACTTGTATTTAACCTAGATTTTTCCTTTAAATACTCTAAACCTGTAATTTAGTGGTCACAGTATTGTTTGAAAGGCCATTATTTCTTATGTAACAGTCAGTGATTGTTGCGCTATAGTGTATAACAACACATTCCTTTGTTTAGTTGTTACATTCTGTTATTTTTTTACTCATGAAAGAGGACAATTGTAAGAAGTTTTTGTTATCAAATGGGGTCAGTTTGTATTGTGTGTCCACCTCTTAATTTAATTTTAATTACCACCCCATAGTGTTTAAAGGAGTTCATCTACTTTTTTACATGATGATGATGTTATGGCATCAGTAGACAGAATATAGCAAAACTGACCTTGCTCTCTGTGGTTCCCATAGAAGATGAGCACAAAGAGGCCCGGACACTGTGTTTGTGTCAGTGTCTGTGCAGTATGTGTGTGTGAATTCAACCCATGGGCTAAAACACCACCCACCACCTCTGTTCAAAACACCATCCTGTTCTCCAGAGCTCTTAGCAGGGCCCGTCATCCCTTTATATAATAATGGCTGACCACTGGCCACAGTATTTGGAGGTGTCAGATCTAGCCTGATCTTTCTATTTTTACTCAACAACCTGTTGAACAGTTGTGGTTTAGATGAAGGCTGCCAAAAATAAAATGGAACCAATTATAATCCAGTGATTAGCTGTTAAAAGGTCTAAGTCGGTGTGCTTTTTTCCACTATTCAAGTGGAAATATTAGTGTCAGAGTTTTGGCAAACACCCATTTCTGAGCAGGGACGCGGGAAGTAGGGGTGCTGAGGGGGCTGCAGCACCCCCTGTTTCTGAGTGTTTTTTTTTCTTACATAATTTTTTAAATAAACTACCATTTAAAAGTTCAATTTAGTTCAGAAGAAATTAAGTTTTTAAATTTACGAAATAGCGTAAGTTATTTACGTAATAAGGATGCATTAAATTGATCAAAAGTGACAAGAAAGGCATTTGCAATGTTGCAAAAGATCTATTTCAAATAAATGCTGTTCTTTTGAACGTTCTATTCATCAAATAATCCTGAAAAAATAGAAAAATAGAGTTTTCACAAAAATATTAAACAGTTTTTACCATTCATAATAATAAGCAATGTTTCTTGAGCACCAAATCAACATATTAGAATGATTTAGGAAGGAGCATGTGAAACTGAAGCCTGGAGAAATTGCTGCTGAAAATTAAGAAACTAGAAAACAGTTTCAAATTGTAATATTTTTCCACAATATTACTATTTTTGATCAAATAAAATGCAGCCTTGGTGAGCATAAGAGGCTTTTTTAAAAATCATATATGTACAGTATGTGTTTGTTTATGTGCAATTTTGTGGAAAACAGAAAATAATTGTTTAATTCTGACCTTTTCACAAGGTCCCCATGGCCATGGAACACCAGGAAGTGTCAGAGAATTTTAATTTCCAGGCCTGGAAAATCATTTAAATTAATCAAAATATATAGTGATTATAACTTTATTCTAATAAAAAGCTCTAAAATGTTTAATTGGCTAGAAAGTGTCTAGAGCAAAAAGAAATTAGTTAGAAAAGTGCAGTCTTTATAATTCTTTTTTAAAGTCTTAATCCACAAATCACAAATGACTGGGAAGAGTCATACAAATTCACTGGTTAAAAGTTTTATAAATAAGAGAAAATAAAGCAATTAAATTTTTTTAATGAAAGGAATAATGCAATTAATAATAATAATGCAAATAATTTAATGTAGAATATGCAATAGAATTCATGTTTTAGTTGTGAATAATGGAGAGATACAATGGCAGAAACCATACAGCTTCGTCTTTAAGCAGCAGTACTGTCATAACCTGATTTAGATTTAATCACCTACATGAACATATCTATAAAATAAGTGCTTAACACAGTGTCACTATTGCCGTAGCTGGGAGAGACAGCTTTTATCATGGGAGAAACGTCACTGTGATTTAGCCTGTGTTAGTTTGAGATAGCGAGATCTCGTCTGTTTTATTTATGTCTAAATAGAAACCTCCAGTTGACACCAAATTCCCTGGAGCCGCTTCGAAGCATATAAAATAAGAGGACGAATATCACTGTGTCTGTGTGTGTGTGAATGAGAGAAACAGAGACAAATAGAGAGAGACTGGAGTAATATTTACAGAAGACAAATAATAGGACTGAATCTACAGTTTCTGAGTTTTATGGGGGACCTTGTTTAAAAAAAGCATCACACACGACACATGCCCTCATGACCTAAATTCATGCCCCTGGAGTGTCTCAATCTGTCCTGACTCCTGACAAAAAATACACTTATTTAGAAACTGATAACTTTATTTAACATGAATATAAGATGCAATCAACTGGTGCAAATGTGTTTAAACTGTTGGACTGTCAATTTTACTTTTACATTCTATTTTGTATGAAAATAAACTACATAGATAAAACAATAACTTTCATTTCCTTGGTTAAGGACAGTAACTCGGCTTCAGAGAGTGACTTTCTGTCCAATGTCAGATATAAAGGGGAATGTAAAATGAAGATGTTAATTAATATTTCACCCACCCACTCATTTTCCATCATCATCTGTGGATGCATTAGTCCATGCAGGTCTAATGGAGCTGGGCTCCGGTCAGTGGATTTGAGTCATTAGTTTCACACAAATTCAAGGGACATTAAAGCACCATATCTGCGTAATACTTCCAGTAACAGTAGATAATAGTTCTCTTAGAAAGTCCATTTATTTTTAGTATTAACATTAGCTTGAGTGCAGTTTAATTAGATGTTCAGTAGGATTCCATTTATCATAATATCTTTCTTTTTTATGTAGTGTTGGTCTTCATCCAGTCGAGAAAATTGAGTCTCTGTCTTTGTAAACCAGGTCTTATATTGGTTTTTAATTAGTTTTGGCTTTAATTGTGTCTCTTTTTTTAGGTTTAGATTTATAGTTTTAAAACATATTTTGGGTTAGCAGTGATAATATGGAAGCCTGGTGTCGCATGTGGAAAGCTCAGAGGGAGATGTTTTATCATATTACCAGCATTCAGGAGTTATTGCTTGCTGCTAACATACCCATCACTGATTCCCAAAACTAGCTCTAACTCAGCAAGAGAGCAGTCTGATGTAAGACTTCCAAGTTAGAGCTGGAGAATTTGAGACTTCTCTTGAGAAGTGTTGTTGTGGTTCTCTCACTGCAAGCTAATACTTGAAAAGCAGCCATGGAATAAAACAGAGCAACATCTTTGCTTTTATAGTCTGTTGGAATCTAGAAGCTATTGCTTTTCCCTCCCTTTTTTGTTGCCTGGGAAACGGTGTTATCATGAGGCTGGTGCTTGTTGTTAAGTGATCCACCCTCAATGTTTTTCGGTGGAAACATGCCCAGAACAGCCAGGAAATGAAGTTAACTGAGCAGTTCTCTTTGTTCAGTGCCGTGGCATATCTTATTTCTCTCATGTCTGTGAAGAAAATTTTCTGAGAATTATGGGATGCGCAGAACTAACTAAAAACAAATAACTTTCTTTTATTACTGACGATGCAAAGCCCTCTTATTTTCCAACTTCAGCTACCTGTAGAGATAATTTTTCATGATCCAGTCAATTCCTGTAGAATAATCATTTCATGATCGATTGATTGATTCTTTGCACTGATACTTACAGACTTATTTGGAGGAAAC